TCAAAGGCGTTAAAAAAAGGGTCAACCCTGCTGGCCTTGTTAGACGCAGAGGATGTGGATGACACATCCGCGATCTACTTCCTTGTCTCGAAAAGGGAGACCAGTTATATCGAAAGAAGCAAGCAGGGCTCTGTGCCGGCCGACCGTGTCAACGATGTAGTTAGCGATGGCAACAGAGCCATGGTTACCCTGGGGCTAGTGGGACCACCCAATCCGCAAGACTTGGAGAAGCTTGTTTTGTTCTCGAGGAGCAATCCCTTTCCCCGACCACTCATACTCGTGGAATTTCCAGCCATTCCGTACAATTCGTTTGAGGGTATTCTGAGATGTCTTCAGGTGCTACATCAGAACCCAGCACGTATGCCATTTACGGCATGGCTAGCCCCGAGTACCGACAACCATGAAATATGTGAAGCTCTGACGGAAGGTAGCACCGACGCTGGCAATATCAGTGTACAACCCCCTGCATACTTCCGAAACAACCTATTACTCGACCTTTCTTGCCTCCGAGGCCAAGGCGATGTTGAGGACGCAAGTCAGATACTGTCTATGTCTCTTTCCCACGATCCTAAGATACTTTCCGCAGACCTCTCCAGGGTAACTGATTTGGACGAAGGCCAGGCAGACGCGCTCATTTGGGCACTACGGCGGAAGATAGCTTTGATCCAAGGGCCCCCGGGGACTGGAAAATCATACGTAGGGCTACAGCTAGCTCGATGTCTGCTGTACAACAAGGATATGCTGAACCTGGGGCCGATACTATGTGTGTACGTGAAAACTCCCACTTTCTAGTCCAGACAGTACTTTATACTAACTTGTAAGTCGCAGATGCTACACCGCTCACGCACTTGATCAATTTCTCGATGGGCTTCTTAGATCGGGTGTTACCAATATCATCAGGATTGGCCCTCGCAGTGCCTCTCCACACATCGAGAGTCTCTCACTGGAAATAAAAAAGCAGGAGCCTGGACCCCGAATTAAGGGTCTTCCTAGGATAAAGGATGAATCGCGAGTGAAATTACTCAGCATAAGCTCAAGAATTGACGAACTCCTGAAGCAAGCCCAGAGCGGCTGTCACAGTCTCGTTCTTGGGGTTCTGAAGAAAAGATTCCCCTCCCACTCCAACCGCATAATTTCGGAGTCTCCTGGCCAAACGGACACGAATGCATTACAAGAGTGGGTTTCTGGCGATGCTCCCGGAGACTGGAGCGATGCTGATATTGTGCGCTCTATTGACCGACTCCTGCAGGAGGACGTCTGGACGCTCAAGGCTTCTGAGCGAACCCGTCTCCTTGGTTACTGGCAGGAGGCGGCTCTCACAGAGATTAGTCAACAAGTATTGACACTTCTAGAAGCTCATTCAGCAGAAAAAGAGCGATATACCTCAGCGTTCAACATGTCGGATGTGCAACGCCTGAACGACTGTCAGGTCGTAGGCGTAACTACTACCCAACTAGCAAACAATGCTGATTTACTCCGAAACCTTGATGCAAAGGTGCTCATATGTGAAGAGGCAGCAGAAGTTCTTGAATCGCATGTCCTCACTGCGCTAATACCTTCAATCCAGCACGCTATTCTGATAGGAGATCACTTGCAGCTACGCCCACGCATCTCTAACCTTAGGTTATCAATGGACTATGAACGGGAGAACCCAAAGTACAACCTCGATGAGTCATTGTTTGAGCGACTAGCGAACTTCCGGTTCGGAGAATCAACATCTAGCGGAGGTGGACAGAACCAGCAGAAATATAGCTTCCCGGTGATGCAGTTGAGCCATCAACGGCGGATGCATCCATCCATTTCTGAATTGGTCCGCGAGACAATATATCCGAAGCTCCAAGATCATCCTGCAATGGCCTCATATCCCCTTGTACCTGGCATTGCTCACAGATTGTACTGGCTCGATCACCGTCACTTGGAAGATCCGACTGATCCTACAGAGCCAATGCAAAGCAAGACAAATACGTGGGAGATTGGAATGGTAACTGCATTGGTGCGACATCTCTGTCAACAAGGCAAGTATGGGCCCGGCGAGATTGCCGTATTGACGCCATATGTTGGACAGTTGAGAATGCTCAGAAATGTCCTGGAAAAGGAAATGACCCTAATAATCAGTGAAACGGACTCAGATGTACTCGATGAATCCGAGGGGTTAGAAGTCAGTGGAACCTCTACTACGCATGGGAAATGGTGCGCAAAGCAGAGGGCCCCTCAGAAGGGGAGCCTCCTAGATGTCATTCGATTGGCTACGGTTGACAATTTCCAGGTAGAAGATAACCAAAATCTGAAAATAATAGGTCTAACACAATTTCTACCAGGGTGAAGAAGCCAGTGTCGTTATTGTCTCCCTTGTTCGCAGCAACAAATACCGAAATTGTGGGTTTCTGAAGATGCCAAACAGGATCAACGTACTGCTCAGGCAAGTATTACACAGGGATGGTACACATTGTATATAAGCTGACTTGGTCTCCAGCCGTGCCAAACATGGCATGTATATTATTGGCGATGCAAGTACGGCATCAACCGCGCCCATGTGGTCATCCGTTATTCAGCTACTGGAAAAAGGCGCTAATATTGGCCGGAGACTTGAGTTGCGTTGCGATCGTCACCCGTCCAAGGGGTTTTATGTTTCTTGCCCGAACGACTTCACCATACATGCCCCTGAAGGTGGATGTGCGGAAAAATGCCGACTAAGGCTAGACTGCGGGCATACCTGTGCTGTGAAGTGTCACTCAGAAAGACAACACCGAGCAGTGAAATGTATGGAGCTGTGCACTCGGATGAAAGAATGCGGCCATGCATGTTCAAAGAACTGTCATGAACAATGTGGGGAATGTCTGCAGGTGGTCCATAATGTCCTCCTCCCCTGTGGGCATTTAGCGGAGGCCGTGGAGTGCAGGCAAATGGGCAATCTCGCAAAGGTGCGGTGCACTAAACGCGTTTCCCGCACTATGGATCGCTGCGGCCACATTGTCGAGATATGCTGCTTTGAAAATGATGGTGCAGTTAATTGCTTTCATCTGTGTGACAGCCCCCTGGCTTGCGGGCATACCTGTCGACGTCTATGCTGGCAGTGTAGATACACAGAGGGCGAGTCCTACCACATTGATCATGGCCGTTGCCGAAACCCGTGCGGCCGGGGATTCTCGGCTTGCTCGCACAGCTGTGGCCAACCATGCCATCAGGGTGAACCCTGCCCGCCTTGTAATTTAACATGCGAAGTGCGCTGTCGGCACAGCCGTTGTGCAAAGACATGCAACGAGCCATGTTCCCCATGCGCAGAGACATGTGGGTGGGGCTGTGAGCATCGCGAACAGTGCAGCATGCCATGTGCTGTCCCATGTAACAACATTCCTTGTGATTTGCGATGCAAGAAGATAATCACAACTTGTGGACATCAATGCCCTGGTATCTGTGGGGAACGTTGTCCAGATCCTCGGTTCTGCCGGCTATGCTGTGGACCAGAAATTCTGGAGCAGAATGTTGATCTCATCGAGCTCAAGGCGTACAAAGACGTCGATATCGACCAAGATCCATTGGTATTCCTCTCCTGTGGTCACTTCTACACAGCATCCTCACTGGACGGCATAATGGGGATGTCTGAACATTATGAAGTGGAATCATCTACAGGCAGGATACTTAGTCCGAAACTTATACACCGATTATTGGAGTCGGGGCGTCCAAAAGGGTGTCCTCAATGCCGTGCACCACTTCGTGATATCGATCGCTATAACAGAATCATCAAACAAGCATTCCTCGATGAAGCAACAAAGAAGTTCGCCACTCATGCAAGCTTGAAGTTTACTCACCTGCTGGAAGAAGTTGAGATCTGTGAGAGAGATATCGAGCGCGAAAAATCAGGTTTTGTATCTGAATGGTTGCAGGAGTCAGTCGGGACAAGAAGTGCTGACGAGGTCAAGCGCTCGGTTGAGGCTTATCGTGGAAGGGGGAACAGACTGTTGGGCAGAATCAAGGAGTTTACCAAATCTGTGGCAAAATCTGAGCAGCCATTTGGGAGGGTCAGTGAGATACTCGCGTCAGCAACAGCGAGGAAGGCTAGCATTCCTGCAACACCGTTCCAATACAGTGAATCGTATATCCAAACCGGGTTTCAATCGCGCGGCCACGTTCTCGCACTTCGACTCACCTGGGTTCTATTCTGGAACTTTGACACCATCTACAGCAACAAGCGAATTGACCCACGCATAAGGATGATTCTGGCCCAAGGGGTAACGAATCAGATTAGTGGTCTACTGAGCCGATGTGAAGCTCTGGCGAGGGATTGCCAGAAGGCTAAGTTTCTGCAGCAGGAGGTAGAGTCCCGAACGTATTATGCTCTGTTCTCAGTGCTGTTCCTTAGCAATCAGGAAGCACGCGGTAGCCCTGTCGAGGGATCCACTGAGAAAGAGATACGGGAAAAGGCACTGAAAGAGCTGAAAGACTGTGATGTGATTTGTTTGCGCCATTCTCAAATTCTATGGTCTCTCCGCGAGGATATCGAGAAAGCAAGAAGACTAGTCAAGGGCGGAACATTCTACAGCTGCGTTACCAGCGAAGAAAGACGGCAGGTGTATCAGGCCATGGCGGCACAGTTCAACGGCACAGGCCACTGGTACTATTGTGAGAACGGGCATCCGGTATGTGATCTCACCATCAATCTCGTCGAGTACTAACTTGGATTGCCAGTTTGCGGTGGGAGAATGTGGGATGCCAATGGAAGAAAGTCGTTGTCCGCAGTGTGAGGCGCCAGTGGGCGGGCTCAATCATGAGTTTGCTCAAGGGATCCGCAGAGCAGATGACATGGATGTGGAGTTTGGCGGTTCCCTTTCTCTCGAGGCGGACGCAGACTGGTGAGCTGCCAATCATATGATATTGATATTGAGGTCGTTCAAATGTATGCACATGCGAGAGATGCTTCTGTAGTATATTGCGCCAGAAGATAGCTACCAGAATGATCATCGGCTTCGCGATAGCAAGGTGGTAAAATAAGACATGAAACCAACTACTATGGTAGCACTAACTATTACATGACATCCGATAGCTCTGAGTACCTCTAACTGTAACTGGATATTGATGGAGTATTGATTCTCAAGAAGCATGCACCACAAAACTCTCCTAGCTATCTTACAAGTCCGAGTGCAACCCGATGCGATGCGGGATTTTTGACAGTGCATCCACGTCATGCACTGCCACCACAGTGAGTATCATCTACCCATGTAGAAGAGACTGCGATGGCCAGTGTATCTAGACTCTCAAAAACCGGGATTATACCAAGGAGTGGCTGCAATGTGCTGGCCAGCCTTATCGGGCGGGCATCCATTGTGAGTGGGATGGCGTGCAACGTGTCTCGCCTCGCGTCGGCGGCATCTTCTTCCACTTCCCCTCCCCACTGCCCCTCCATCCTCAACCCCTCGATCGGCATCCACGTCGACTGGCAGGAGCAAGCTGCAAGCTTTCGGAACCCAGGTATGAAACTGATACGCCAGATGTGTTGCTTTGAAGTCTCATGCGACGCTGCAGCTTCCTTTCATGCTCTCAGCTTCCATCAAGGTGCTGCCTGCTTGCTTTATTCTATCGACAGGGATAGCAATGGCGTTCACGGTGCAGAGACTGATGTCACCGTCATAGCTGGGTGTAGTATACAGCATGAAATAGTCGTACCTTCGGAACAGAAGGGCTTTCACTACGCTTTCACGGCAGATGGGGGTGTCAACAGCTGCAGGTCGATAGGTTCAGGCATTGCTACATGCAGCTATCTTGGAGTACCCCGCAGTCACCATCTACCAATCTCCTAGGCCATACATCGTGTCAATCAAGAGAAACGTGCATTATCCAGCTTTGGTCGAATAGTGATGGATGGCGTCGGATGCATGCTGTACGTTGCAATGCCCAAATGAAGTCACCCAACAGACGCGTCTGTGATAGCCAGGCTATGGCTATCGCGCATATCGTGCAAAATCGGACTGGAAGAACATTATGGAATGGGCAGGTTGAAGAACATAAAAGGCGTCAAGAGCCAGCTGCTCTCTTAGCATCTACAACTCCATCCCTCATCCTAATCTACAAGCCTCAAGCCTCCGATTACCCGCCACCATGCCTCAGGACCTCAAGGTACGAAAACACACATTAACCTTGCTTCAGTTACTGATGCTCATAGAACGCCCACTACTCCTATAACTACCTCCATGGGTTGAGGGAGAAGTACGAGAAGTCGGTATGTGTTCCTCGACACCTAGGTCTGCTCATTTCTAACTATCACCTAGGCTCAGGACATCTGCCGTGAGTATCTACAGAGATATGAATCGATTGGATATTAACAGCAGCAGGCGGTATGACCTTTGAGGACGCCCTTGCCCATGTCAACTCCACCGGCCGCACAAACTTCACCCGGGAACAGCTGGAGGCCTTTGACACCAACCATGACGGCAGCATCAACTTTGCTGGTGAGTGTCCCATGCATGTCTCGAGAAGTGCTGCTAACTGGAATAGAATACATGGAATTGATGCTCAACAACGACAAGGAGCTCGCGTTCCGTAATGCCAAGTTCATCGCTTAGATTGGGAGGATCGGCCGGCTCTGTATATAGGTCGCCATATAGCATGAATAAATGATTATGACAACTATGATTATGTCTTCATCCTTTGAGTCCGCTACGGCATGTGTACTGTGTAATCGCATTTCCCTTGTCCCTCTCCGATATTAGTAATAATTCTTCCTGATGTCAACATTCAAAGCCCAGCATTCCACAATCTTCATATGATGTCATGTCTCAATCCCTAACATCTTGCTGAAACAGGTACCGTTCTGTTATTTTATCGAGCAAGCAATATAGTAGGAAGGTCGCCCTTGCATGTAGTATGATACTATTGGTGGCATCCAGTGTTGATCGTATTCAATATGACCAGTAGTCTCCACTTCAGCAGTGGGTTTGTGATAGCCAAGATATCGGCAGTAGTCCTGCAGAGCATCTACACCTCTTCATCTCACTTCAGTCGTCCATCTCTCACTACATCTTCAATCTCACAAAGTTACAGACATCATGTGGCTCTCTCTTGTGTGCAGTATTCTGCTGCCACTTGGGGTAGTCAACGCACAGTCTCAGTACCTCAATGACAAAACCAAAGGTATACCATATCGCGTCAGTTCGAATTCCACTAACAGCACCAGAATTCGTCGTCATTGGGTCTGCCCTTCCTTTCGTCGATTTCGATATTGGCGAGTCCTACGCGGGCTACCTCCCCAACACGCCTTCTGGCATCTCGAGCCTATACTTCTGGTTCTTTCCTTCTTCCGATCCGAATGCGTCCGATGAGGTATGTTGACCCCATTTCATTCTCTTCCATGGCTAATGAACAGATCACCGTCTGGCTGAATGGCGGCCCAGGATGCAGTTCGCTGGCGGGCATCATGCTCGAAAATGGTCCCTTCCTATGGCAACCTGGCACCTACCGACCCGTGCGCAACCCTTATTCCTGGAACAACCTCACCAACATGGTGTACATTGATCAGCCTGCTGGAACGGGATTCTCGCTTGGTCCGTCTACAGTGGTCTCGGAATTCGATGTAGCGAGACAGTTTATGGACTTCTGGAGGCGGTTCATGAAAATTTTTGATCTGCAGAATCGAAAGATCTATCTCACCGGCGAGAGTTATGCGGGGCAGTATATCCCATATATCGCGTCGCAGATGCTGGACCAGGATGACGATAAGTATTTCCGGGTTGTCGGCATCCAGATCAATGATCCCTATATCAATGAGGTGCCAGTTATGCAGGATGGTATGATAGCCACTGCCACAGGCTATTGCTTACTCGACTAACTTTGAATGCAGTGCCTGCTCTTGCGACCGTCAACCAGCACCGCTCTCTTTTCCCCTTCAATGACACTTTCATGAGCCAAATAACCCAGCTTTCCGACGACTGTGGCTACACTTCGTTCCTAGAAGATGCCCTTACCTTTCCACCCCTTTCCAAATTGCCATCAGTGCCCTACAATGCCAGCTGTAACACCTGGGAAACCATAATCAACGCCTCGCTAGCTCTCAACCCATGCTTCAACCGCTACCACATTCCCGACACCTGTCCCACACCGTGGAACCCAGTCGGGGGCCCCAATGTTGGCCTCGGTCCAACCAACTACTTCAACCGCAGCGACGTCCAGAAAGCCATCAACGCGTATCCAACGGACTATTTCGTCTGCAAGGATGGAATCTTTCCGACGGCCGACGGACTGGATACGTCTCCCCCAAGCTCCCTGGGACCGCTGCCGCGCGTCATCGAACAAACCAACAACACCATCATCGCGCACGGTCTGATGGATTTTGAGCTTCTGGCGCAGGGAACCCTGATCAGTATCCAGAATATGACCTGGAACGGGAAGCAGGGGTTCGAGCGGGAGCCAGTGGAGCCGTTGTTCGTGCCGTATGGTGGACCATCGGGAGGAGGTATATTGGGGACAGCACATACAGAGCGTGGATTGACATTCTCGACAGTGTTCAGTTCAGGACATGGTATGCCCCCTTTCCCAGTATGCGATGAAGCGGGTTACTAACTGAAACAGAAATCCCAGAATATGCACCGGGAGCAGCATATCGCCAGCTAGAGTTTTTGCTAGGGAGGGTCGCGAATCTGTCAGTGGGATGACCGAAGACAAACAACAATAAGAGCAAAATGCATGATTGCAGGCAATAATTGAGCAGGTGCAGGTGACGGAGCAGGATGGTCGAGCTGTCAGATCGAATGATTGTTCGGCAATGAGAATAGTGAAGCTAGACTAGCTCTGCTGAACTTTGCTTCTCCACCATAGCTATCGCCATCATAATCCAATCATCACTGCAATTCTACCTTGATCCCCTCATCGTAGACCCGTAAATCCGACAAATAATATACTAGCTATGAACTTCTTAATCAAAGCCAATTAAGACCCCCAATTCTATTATGGTATCTAAATGATCGACATCATCGATCCGACCTCGGATCGGGAATTCCCCCCAAACTCTGAAGCCGCGCTCGCTGGGTCCACCCCGCATCTTCACACTCAAAAAGTTAAAGATTTCCCCTCAATTAATTAATCCCTTCTCCATCTTCCACTCACTTTACTTGTTCCCTCCCACCCTATTTTTTGCTTTTTGTATACAATGTCACCAACATCCATACCAACCCACCAAACCGCCGCCTGCGTCGACAATCCCAGTCCGGGCGCGACCCTCACTATCCGCCATGACATTCCCGTTCCGGTGCCGGGAGCGGGGGAGGTTTTAGTCAAGTTGGAGTATACGGGGTTTTGGTAGGGAGCCAGCCACAGAAATGCCCCAAGGTAGAATTGCGCTGATGGAGTGTGTTGAACTGGATTAGTCATTCCGATCTGCATAATATTAATGGTGACTTGGTCATGACGACGAATGTTCCGGGACATGAGGGGGTGGGGAGGGTTGTGAGAGGTGAGACTCATGCATTGTGTGGAAGTGAAATGAACACTAACGTTGTGTAGTTGGACCTGATACTCCGGTTGAGATGATGGGGAGGAGAGTTGGTGTTAAGTATATCATCCCGGTTTATATAAGTCGGTGCTTTGATGGGATGAACTAATGAAGGTGTCTATCTAGATGGCTGTATAAGACCTGCATGAAGTGTCCGACTTGCAAGGTGCAGTATACGAATTGTCGGAATCAGGATAATTCGGGGAGGGTGAGCTTCCCTATAACTGATTTTATTCATGGGGATGAAGCTAACGGCAGTGATGATAGAACGTTCCTGGGACATTTCAACGTGAGATATCTGTTATCCCATATGAAGAGGATATAATCAGCTTATACTGGTATAGAATACGTCGTCTCTCCTGCGAACTTCGTCTCTCTGATTCCAGAGGATCTGAATCCCGAAGCTGTCGCGCCGTTGCTATGTGGTGCGTTCATCCTTCTTCTTCTTCTTAATTAAGAATACCACTAACGGACGCAGCCGGCCTTACCATGTACGGCGCACTCAGCAAGATAGAGAAGCTATATGAAAAAGGAGATTGGGTGGTTATAATGGGTGCAGGTGGTGGACTAGGCCATTTGTATGTCTTCCGTGCCGATATCACGGACAATAGCTGATGGGGTGTATAGGGGCCTTCAAATCGGCAAAGAAATGGGATACGAGATGATTGCAGTAGACAGGTATGCCACTTCCTAATCCTATCAGCCAGCACTAACGTCTCTCAGCCCATCCAAGAAAGACCTCTGCCTTGCATCCGGTGCATCCGCCTTTTTCGACTTCAAAGATGACAACGTACACCCCCTTCCTTTTTCGTCTAGTTTCCATATATACTGATGCCTAACCAGTTAATCCACAACATTCAATCCCTAACCGACGGCGTCGGCGCCCACGCCGCCCTTATCGTCGTCGGATCCGAAAAAGCTTATGAGCAAGGCGTTGCTCTTCTCCGTCCGCTGGGCACACTCGTATGCGTGGGCTTTCCCCGTCCGGACTTCCATGTTCCTGTGGCACCGCAGTACTGCGTGGATTATGGACTGCGGATACTTGGTAGTGTGGTGGGTACGGAGACGGAAATGCAGGCATTGTTGGAGATGGCGAGAGCAGGGAAGGTGTCGACGCATTACGAGGTGTTTGATCTCGAGCAGATTAATGATGTCGTGGCGAAGATGAGACGGTATGCGGTAAGTGGGAGGGCAGTGTTGCGGATTCCGGGAGCAGCTGCTGCGAGAATATAACTGTATATAGTAGATGTTAAATGTACTCGATAGCACGTATAGCATATACCAAATCTTATTCCAGCGAAGTACAACATAACTAATCAATAGTATCAACTAACCAATAGTATCAACTAATCAATAGTATCAACTAATCAATAGTATCAACTAATCAATAGTATCAACTATCCAATAGTATCAACTAACCAAACAACAACTGAAGAAACAACAACTAACCAAACAACAACTGACCAAACAACAACTAACCAAACAACAACTTACTAACCCAGGACATCCCCCAACCCAACCCCCTCATCCCCCTCTAAATCAAATCACCCACTTAAAGTCCAAAAAGGGACGCAAACCCACTCGCCGCCGACGAACTACTCGCCGCAGCCGAGCTCGAGCTAGAACTAGTAGTAGTACTAGTACTCGTCGAAGACTGAACTTTCTCCGCCAAAAAGTTCGCCGCATCACCCGCATCCATCCCATAGGTCAAATGCGCAGCGGTAACAATCAAGGTATCATCACAGACCAAATCACCCACGGCACAATAAACCTTGACATCATCCTTGGGGTAGTTGGGGATCTGTCCATTGTCCTGCACGTTTCTCGTGAACCCGAAGAGCACCACACCCTTCACTTGGTCTTTCACTGTCGTGCTGAGTTCTTGGATCGCGTTGTCGATTACGGCGCTTCCTTGACTGTACAACATCCAATCCCCGAAGGGGGATTATGTTAGCTTTCTGCCGCAGGCAATCTCATAATACAATGAGAGGAAAAGAGGGGGGAATATACCTATAACCACCGGCCACAACCTTCGTATTGGGACACTTCGAATTCGCCTCCTCGAACATCTGCTTCGCGGCAGAGATACTTCCCGGATCAGTGTTCTGGGGTAGGTCATTCTGTATGAGTCCAGCGGTGTATTGTCCGCCGACACCCTGGCAGGCGACTTTGTCGGATCCGAGTTTGGATTTGAGGCTGTCGCAGAGGGGAGGGCCGATTATGGAGCCCTATATCCCAAATCATTATTATATTAGCATCATGTCATGTCGGTCTTGTTTACTCATTTCGTGTTCCGGGGTAGAGGAATGTAGGTGGGTGGCATACCATATTGCCCATCTCAGTCGACCCTCTCGCAAAAATCAAAGTCACATCCTTGCAGCTTCCCTGCTCGAGTTCGTTGGCGGTAGAGCCCGTGCCGCGCGCGTAGAGAGATCCAGGGTCGGATGCTAATGGGGTGGAGATGGCCAGGGTGGCCAGGGAGGCGGTTAGGAAGAGGGATTTGATGGGGGCCATTGTTATTTTATTTATTCCTTTTTTTTTTGTTGTTGTTTGGGGTCTTGAGAAGAAGAAGAAGAAGAAGAAGAAGAAGAAGTTATTTGTGTGTGCTGCGCTGCAGGCTTTGAAAAGAATGAATAATAGAATGAAGGTAGTAAGTAAGTAAAGTGGTAAAGAAGGCGTGAGAACGAAAGAGTGGACTGGACTGAGTCTGAGTCTGTCTGGATGAGTGTGTCTTTGGGGGGGGTCTACTGCATACTTATATACACATCTATCCATTTTATGTATCAACTGATACTACACTTACTACCAGTAAGTTCTACTAAGTGAAATCAAGAAGATTCCGAGGTTAGACTAATCCGGTATACCTCGTGCTGGGCAAGACAGGACAAGGACAGGGCAAACAGGGTCCGACGCAAAAATGAGTCGAAGATGAAACAGAACCAATTACCTAACTAGAACTAGTAGATAGACCCTTTCTACAACAATCAGACCACTATCCTAACTAACTAGCAAGTATACCCCGGGCTCAGCAGTGGGAACATTGTTTCAGGGGATCGGCCGCTTTTCTACGCTGGGAATAGTCCCCCGGAATACCAGGGTTCACAGGCATCCATCCATACATTCCTATCAGTTAGGGTTCTTCCGGAGTTCATCCGACGTCCGCCCGTCCATCCACTAGATATATCCAATCCAGGGATTAGGGCCTTGTTTACAGGTCGGTTAATTGGTTGCCTTGGATAGGGCATGTGGGTGATTAATTAACCTGTAGCGGGTGGCTTTTCCACTGTAAACTCAATTTCTATCCTTAACCTTCGTATTCTTGTCGATGGTATAGACTAGGCACCCACGTTCAGGATCAACACAACCGTTGTTTCGTTTTTAGTTGGGTGGAAAGGCTTGTCGGTTTGATCTGGTTTTTGGGTCAAGCGTTTTGCCGAGGTTGGTTAGATGGTGGATGGTGGATGGGGAGATCGTCAGGGACGGAAGTGACTGACTGAACTCAATACTGTTTGTTATCTAGAAAAGGTTCTTCTGGAATGCCGTCGTTTTCTTCCGAAAGGATCAATATTTGGTTCCGGGTGGAGAGGGTCTTCACACGGGATTAACAGTCCATCAATCAATTGGAATCATGATCGTGATCACGTCGAATGTCTACGAAATTAGGCTGTTGGAATCATGCCATGTCTATGGTCTTCTCAATTTGTGATCTTGTGCTATCCACTACATGTTAATTATCTTCTAGCCCTGCCATTATCCGGATAACACGGGAAGGTCCTCAACGTGCCGTGTGCAATTTCAACGGTTTGTATCTGACACCATCCATGTCAGGCTCAATTCCCGCCGTCCACATGCTTGGTCAATGTCTCGATGAAAGACTCGCCCCATTTCGCACTAGTGTTCGTCTCGATAAAATGCCGCAACGTTTCATATCGACTCTTGCGTTCCTCGTCATTCATCGTGACCGCTTGATGAATCGCATCAACCATCTCTGACATATTCGCCGGATGGAAAGTAAGACATCCCTCCTTCATGAAAGATGCCGCGCCGGCAAACTCGGACAGCAGGAGCACTCCATGCCGCTGCGCCTGGCACGCAACGTACTCGAACGAAACAAGGTTCATCCCATCCCGCGTCGAGGTCAGTAAGCAGGCATCGGCAACCGAGTACAGCGCCGTCAATTCGCTGAAGTTGACAGACCGGTGCATGTAGATCAGCGGACAGCCATCGGCGGTTGCTAGACTCATCAGTACTATAGACCAACACCAAAGCATAGAATACTCACAATGCTTGCCGTTAATCCTCCCAGCCATCGTACTCAATTCCGTCTCTAGATCCTGATACTCCTTCACATCCTCCCGACTAGGCACCGCCACCTGGATAAGCACCACCTTATTGCTCAACTCCGGATACTGATCCAAGAAAGCATCATAGCCCTTCAACTTCTGGTCAAGCCCCTTGATATAATCCAGTCGATCCACCCCAACAATAACCTTCATCCCCATATACCTGCGCTGCAACTCCCTTATGCGATTCTGCACTTCCTCATTCTGCAGCGCATCCGTAAATTTCTGCGGATCGATGCCGACAATGAACTTTTCCGCAACTACCTCATGCCCTTCGTACTCCAACGTCCCTGACTCTTTCACCTTCGCATCGGCCCTAATACAACCTGTCAGCACATCCCCATACCCATAAGAGGAACACAACCTACAGAGTCTCCGCGCAAAGCACAAAATTCCTCTTATACTCATCCGTATGAAACCCAATTACATCACTCGCCAGCAACCCCCTCAACAACTCCTTCTGCACCGGCAGACCGCGCCAAAAGTCTCCCGCCGGGAACGGCGTATGCAGCGAGAACCCAATCGCGCAATTCTTCCCCGCCAGACGATCCCTCAACAGCCGCGGCAGCAGCATAAGATGATAATCGTGCACCCAGATCAACGACCCCGGCTTGGCTGCCTCGGCGATCGTATCGGCAAAGATCTCGTTCACGCGTTGGTATGCTTCCCAAGGACCGTCTTCAAAATTGATGCCGGATTGGTAATGCAGGATAGGCCAGAGGATGGCATCTAATACCAGAGAAAGAAATATTAGCATACCCTTCTTACTCACTAATCTTAGGCGATATATAAAAAGCTGGGTATCATCGCACTAGAAAAGTTATTATAGTGCTTATTCGCCAACTCATTATCCAAGAAAATCGGCACAGCGTTATGCTCATCCAAGCTCTGGCGAATTTGTCCCTGTTCCTTTTCATCGGCCACGTCGATACCTGGCCATCCGAACCAACTGAAGGTAGTCGTTTTAGTCAATCCTGATAGGGATGTGACTAGACCTCCACTGGAAAGGGAGGATTCGTATCCCCCGTCGACCTTTTTCAGTGACAGAGGGAGACGGTTCGAAACAACGATGAGGTTGCGCTTCGTCATACTGGGCTGATTGATGGTGAATCAACGCGATCAATGCGGAAAATCAATTGCAATGTTTCGAGCTGCATGTTGGGCTGAGCGAGGCGCGATGGGTTTGTATAATATCTCTCCGACGGAATAGCAATACGTCAGCATGAGGGCACGACCCAGGCCCGCACGGGTGGCAGATGGGCACCCAAAGAGTCAAATGAATGCCTTATTTCACCCCCTGGAGGGGCACCCTGTATTTCATGTCTGGACCGTGGACTGATCTCCGCTGCTAATGCAACGGTGTTGCGATCTTGCCTGGTTATGTTGGATGTGTCAAGCTGGGCCGACGCGGTGGCTGGTGATCATCCAGCCGTGGCCGACGTCATTGTTGGTCATCTGACCCTATACAACATAGTATAATAATAAATTGCGGATTATGGCCAGTAGGTGACAGCATGGTCAATCTGTAATTACGTATATACACGAACAGTAAAAATCCAATCAACTCCAGTCCAGTCTTTTCGTTTCGCCCAATGCAGTGCCTGTGCAACTCCGTCTCCCGCTGATGCCACAAAGTGTAGAAGATGCCTACCTCATCCGCTTGGATGGACTCGGCGTACGCATACGAGATTCCCGATCGCGGGTCCGCTCAGACACAAAGTCTTTGGTTGTGGCCTGCTCCAGCATGAGCGGCGCGTCCGGCTTCTCGAACCCAGTAGCCCCCTGATTCGGCGCTCCCATGTATCCAATGGAGTTATGTTGGTAGGGGTATTGAGGCGGCGCAAGCGACGGGTGATGCTGTGCGGACGACTGTCGAGAATAACTAGGGGGCGCAGAGTAATCGTGTTGGTTGAGACGGTTTCTGAAAGAACGGAAGGACCAGTTGCTGACAACGGTGACGGTCGAAATCGTAGCAAGGAAAAACATCTACAATATTAGCCGATAACTTGCTTTGGGGAGGGTAGACCTACAATCGCCTTCCAGCTGATAGGGTCAATGAAGCTGTTGATGATTACTGCCATCGTATGCGCCGATACCTTAGCCCGCCCGACCTTGGCCGGATCCCGGTTCATGCATCGCTCCCAGTTTTCACACACGCTTTCCAAGGCCGGCAGTCTATCCCCTCCCGCGCAACGATTGTCGACGTAACTCTTCGCGCATGCCGCCATTTCAGCCAGGATCGTATCCGACACCTCCTCGGCTGCCTGCTCAAATTCTGCCCGGATCGCTGACACAAACCCAAAGACCACATATACCGCAAGCGAGAACAACGACAGGTTCACCACCAACTGCGCCCACCAAGACAGGATGCTAGGAACATTCGGATGTGCTTCCAGCAGAGCAAAGAAATCTGAGAATGAAGTCAGACGTGATCCCGTTTGAGTCGTCTCCGGCTGGCCTGGTCCCGGCTTCTGTCTTTGCTTGGTTGGCTTGAGCTCACTGCTGCTTGGTCGGTCACTCTCATCGTCACTGTCCCTTCGTAGTTGTAGATCCAGCGCCTTGTCCCTCCGCCGTCTCTTCTGCACCCGTCGTGCCAACGCGTTGGAGTAGTGGCTCACGCGGGGTATTTCGCCGCGACCAGGGCTCGGCGCAAACCGTCCGTACATGCTGAACAGCGAGTTCCGATGGGCTTTTGGTTGCTCGGGGGTATCTTCATTGTCCGCGTGTTCGGGGGAAGACATGTTCTCAGCACCGGATGAGAAGTCGACATCGAATTTGCGAGGCGTCATAAATGCCGACTGATTGAAGAACGGCTTCGGAGTCGCGGGGGGTTGCTGCGTCTTGGTCTGGGAGAAGAGGAAGGGCTGGGAGTTGGGCTCTCGCAGAGCGGGCATCGTTTTCTTCTCTGGAGAATCGAAAATGCTATGAGGGCCTGTGGAGGAGCTTGTTAGGCGCCAAAAAACCAATGTTTGTCTCCAAGAGAGCTGCATCCAAGACCCACGTTTCTTCTGATTGTCATGCTGCATGCTGAGCTGGTAAAAGGGCGAGGTCACATCGCCGGGGGCCCTTGTCTGCCATTCAAAGTCCATCGGACTCTCCGCCGTTCGTTTATCCATCTTGAGGATGGGGACGACGAAGTGAATGAAGAATGAAGATGGTTGGTGGAGATGAAGTGGTTGTGACGACAATGAAGGGTGATGAGGAGGAAGATCGGAGATGCGGACTTTTCCGATTCCTGTCTTTTTTTGTTTTGGTAAACAATCCAGACTCGCCGCCGAGCAACGACTGAGAGTCCCATATGCCACCCGTGGCAGTCGCAGTGATATACACGATCTTCCTTTTGTTTTATAGTAGTTTATTTAGAGTGAGCTAGATGTAATGAAGTTGATATCCAGGTGTTATTAAATTGCATGCGGCTGCAGACAGTACTGGACTGTGACGTGCAGCAATCGCCTGGATGCACCTCACGGTCGCAGTTGTCCTATTAATAGCCTGACAGTCAGTAATTATGATCGCCACTCGAGTGAATGGCTGGCTACTTCCATTCGAACAGCACAATTAAGGGACTAATCCAATTAGCACAATGGCATGGCATTTGCGGGGGGCCATCACCCCGGACTCCCGTTGCGACTCGTCGGTCGCGCCCGCTTAACCTTTTATTCCCCACCAGACTACCCTCATCCTTTCTTTGAAAAGTGTTCTGGAAATGTTTTTCTATCATGATAAACATGATACCATTGCTGGGATAGTATATTCGGTCTAAGCAATACTACAGTGGGGATCATTAATGAACGCTGAGAAATAGAAAGAGGACAAACAACCCCGGACTTCCTCCGCGTGTCGATCACAACAGAACGAGTGACTGGAAGCAGGCGCGAAGTGATGTACAACATGCAGAAATGTCAAAATGAATCAGTGATCAGTCTGTGTCCAACGCCAGAATCAAGGACCGTGGTTAGGGATATCGACGCCGAAAGCACAAAATGAGAAGAGGAAGCAACAGACGTGTCATAGCTTGATCCGATCGACCAGCTCAAAGTCATCGTCGTCAGCCATGTAGCCCAGGGCTGTCTCACCCTCATAAGAGATCATCTCGTACTCCTTGACAATCCGCTCTGTCTCCTTCGTCTCGAACTTCTCGACAGCCTTGCTCACAGCATCAGAGAGTATAGTCTGGCCCGCCACATCATAGTCACGCAGCGTATCCTTCCCCTCAGCATCATCGATAATCTTCTCCGCCGCGGCAGGGTCATCAATGTCATCGCTGGAAGAATCCGACGTTCCACTGTCGAGAGCCTCACGGACGTCAGCGCGCAGGGCGATCTTGGCGTCGCTGAGATGATGGTTGGTTTCAGCCTTTCGCTGGAACCGCATCTGGCGTGTCAAGCTAGCGGCTGTCAGCGACATTTCTAGTTGTCAGGCACGGAAACATACGTTGTGTAATGAGTAGCTGGCAACCTCGGCCTAGCCTTGTGCAAGACATGAGAGTGGACAGTTTGGCTATAACGAGGCAGGGTAGAACGGCTGCCGTACGCCCACTTGGCCTTGTGGTCGTGAGCCCTTTTGGCCTCAACGCCAGCACGACGGATATCAAGCAAGGAGTCAGACATGACTGGAGAGGACGGTTTGGAGTCGACGGATGCGGGAGATGATAGTCTCAGATATATACAAGGAATAGGGTAAAACCACACTCGGGGTGATAGGTGGCGCTTGCCTCTGTTATTGAGGGATGTCTGGAACAGGGGGATATAAAGCCAGGAAATTGAGGCGAGAGCGGTGGACAAAAGACTGAATACTAAGGCAGGCCCGCGAACCAAAAATCTCCGATAAACAATAAACAAGAGAGGTTACAGGGCGTCTTTGGTCTGAGTCATAAAGAGGCCCCGGCTGGGCTTCCAGTCATCGACGACCCGAGGATGTCGAGCGGCAAATGCACACGGTAGACTCTTCACAATGATGGGGAAATGAGTAATAAAGAGATCCGACAAGGAGACCCTTCTCTGAGCAAGTCGAGAAGAGGACAGAAAAGAGACAACAAAGTGACACCTTGGGGGTGAGCTCGTCATCCAGGGGAAGATATAACTACTATCTCCAACTGCACGCGCTCCGAGGGGGGAAGACTAAATAGGCAGCACGGGGTCCGCGCGAGGCGATGCTGATTATGGCAGGTCATCTGTTGGAAATCATCTATCGTCATCGTAGCCTGTAACCTGTAGCCTACTACTAGCTATTAACTAAACCAAGGAAATAAGACTATCTCTACTATCGGAGGGGGTGGGAAATCAGCTATCAATCCGGCGCGGCAGTTACTAGACTATCCCCCCCTGGATTGTTATCGTTGCTTGCTCCTGCTGCTGCCGATCCCCCGAGCGCCACTTCTCGACCCACGGTTTAGCGCCCCCTCACTCTGCTTCTCACTAAGTAGTTCAATCGAGTCCCGAGGTTAAACGCGCAAGATACCAGAATCCCAGCCTCTGGGAAAGTTGGAACTTGCCGGTGGGTTCTTTTTTCCAAGGGTGAATGGGAAAGGAGGATCCCTCCAACAATAGGGCCAACTGCATGAGATGTGATCCACTGCCTCAGGCACGTTGTGGTCGATCTGGAACGTCACTTGTCAAGGATGGCACGGTTATTAGTAGCATGCTGAATGGATCGGTTCCTCTGGATCGGAGTCTCTGTCTGGGACAAGGAAAATGCCGCCGTAAATCAAACCCTGCATCTGCCAATCGCCTCTGCGCGTGGTTACCCGTGACATTTCCTGTTATCGGGGGGCTTGTCCTGCTGAGCGGGTGATCCCATGCTCCGAAGCCATCTGCGATCTGACCGTAATTAGGGCGGGCAGCTGACTTGATGGCTGCGCCAGTCACTTGCGATGGATGTAATGTGATGTATGCAACTTAGTTAATAAGATTGTGACATCAGCTGGAATGTTGTTTGCTGCTGATGGACTGATTAGACGGATGTACAAATGAAATACTCCTGTCTGGTAGTTGGCTTGGCTCGTATTGCTGAACATCTAATGATTATTGTGCATTTGTGTTAGGTATTTATCTCCCTTGTGTCAGTATTCAACTTCCATTTATACCATGTATAATACTGGCAACCGTCTACTGGTAATAATGCACATACAAGGCTATGTCCCTCTACAGAGTACTTAGTAGATGTCACAATACCATCCCTGCTAGGACATACTAATATGAGACACAGCCTCGAGATCTAGACTGCCAGTACCCCCCACTCTCAGCCTGGTAGTAACAAATTGAGTCATAACCTGGCGTTTAGAGCAGATCCCAAAACGTTCCCCGACTTCTTATTATACATCATAGGAATCTACCAAGGAATACTATGCCTTCCTAAGTAGTCCACAGCCTTGTGAATTGATGGTCTTGTAAAAGTCACTTGGCATGTGTCATAATCCAGAGCTATGTTGGACAAACTGCAAGTTGAGGCAATATCATTATGATTCATACTCTCGCAGTTATTGGCTGGGCTATCTTCCTGATAATCTCAACATGCATTGGGGGCGGCTAGGTTTACGGAGTAAAGCCATAATATAGCCGAGGTATATTGTCCAAATCACGTCTTTTCAAACTTTTCTCTTTCGTGGGGTGTCAAAGATAGAACGTCCCAAACGAGCCTCTACAGCAGAAACTGTAGATATCAATTATACTAAACAGAACAATGTAAATATCCCGGCAAACACCATGCATGCAATCCATATTACTATCCATCCAGCGTCCAGCACCAGATGCCAATCCCAAAGTACAAAGTAACACCATACCATAATACAAATACACTACTCATCCATCTGCCACTGATAATCCAGCGCCTCCAACCTCCCCTTCCGATTCCTGGCCAAAAACCACTCTTTCTCAAATCCATTCCCGCGATCCACCCCATCCCACCGATGACCCGGACGAATACCATACCGATTCGGCGCAAACCCTCCCTTATACAACGGCTTGCCCGTCCGACTCGTCCCTCCCTCCTTAACACTCGTCAAGAACTGCGCCGCCGGATCATTCCACCGTAATTTCCCCTTCAACTCATCATTCAGCTCCTCATCCTCCGCCGTCCTCGCCAACGGCATAGCCCTCACATCCCTCAACTGCTGCTTCCTCTCCTCCCTCTCCCTCCTCTGCACATCACCCATCAGCGCCTCCTTGGCCTCCTCTTCCTTAGCCTTCTTCTCCTCCTCCGCCCGTCTCGCCTCCGCCCTCTTCAACGCCACATTAATAATCCGTCCACTCGCATCACGATAAATCGTCTCCTGCGCTTTCTCCCCCAACGCTGACTCTTTATACTTTGCCGCATCCGCCTTCTTCTTCCTTTCCTGCGCAGCAACCATCGCTGCCGTCTGCGCCGCAGTCTGTAATCCCGCGCGCGCGCCGGACTCCATCTTCACCCCTCCATCTTCCTCATCCTCTTCCTCCATTCCCTCCACAACCGGCGCATCATCATCCCCCTCATCACCACCCCCTTGTTCACGCCGCCGTTCCTCCCTCTCCGCTATCGCATCCGCCAATATCTTATCCGCCGCGTCTTGCTCAGTACCACCCGGTGTAAGAGTCTTCCACCCGGAGGTCTTCTTCCGTCGGAACTCGCCCGTCCGAGCACCACTGACTATTGACGGCGCGTCCTCGTCATCATTAAGGAAATTGTTGCCCGCGGAGCGGAGATCAGGCGGGTCGTCGTCGGCGATGATCAGACCGGTGGGAGTGGAGTCGGTGGTTTTGGAGCTGTTCTTCTTGCGTTTCTTTTTAGGACGGTCGGGCGCGGGGTCCGCGTTTAGGTAGTTTTTCGCGAGGTAATCTGCTAGGGAGGACATTTTGTAGTGTGTGTATATAAATTTGGGTGGGTGGTAGGTAGGTAAGTGACGGAAGTAGTAGTAGTAGTAGTAGTAAGTTGAAAGGTCGGTATCTGATAATCGGACGAGGGATTTTCCGGGTAAGCTAGCTAGCTAACTAACAACTTTACCTACCCTAGCACCCCAGTGATGTAGTTTATGCCTTAGGCAGGAAGGAATGTAATATATACCGTTTACATATCACTCTCACTTCATACCTATATACATACATACACACCCACATTTCATATATAATATCAATATAAATCAAATAAATGAAATAAAAAAAAAAACAATGCCCCGCACCGACGAAGCCGACCACTTCATCAACGCCGTCTACTCCGCCGTGCAAGAGATCCCTCGCGGAAGAGTAACGACCTACGGCCATATCGCGACGTTATTAGGATATCGTATGTATGCCTACACCCACCCATTCCTTTCATGTATCCCAGACCATCCCATTCTAGTAACCCTACATATTAATGATATGATGATGATGATGATGACTGGAGCAGCAAAACGCCCCCGCCAAGTAGGAATCAGCCTGAAACATCTCCCCGCCGCAGAAACAGACAACTATTTCCATTCGGGGAATGTGCCGTGGCAGAGGGTTATTAATTCCAAGGGGATGATTTCGCATCGGTTTGTCGTAACCCTTATTCTTATTCTTCTTCTTATTATTATTTTTGTTGTGGGGGTTGAGGGTGAAGTAAAGTGGTGGTGCATTGGCGATGCTGATAATGTGTTGTACTGCAGGGAACCAGGAAGTGCGGAGCGACAGGCGGAAGCGTTACGAGGTGAAGGGGTGGAGGTGGAGGAGGATAGTATGGGGGAGTGGTATGTGGATTTTGGACGGTACGGGTGGTTTCCGGATGTTTTGCCGAGTGAGGATAGTGAATATGATTTATGATCATATTGATGATGGGGAGGAGGGTGGTAGTTAGGCTACGCAGATGGATTTTTCTTAGTGAAGAACAGTGACTTCCATTCATGCACACAGTATCTACAGTTCCCCTCGGATAGATCCCATTTTCGGCCCATGCTTCCCCCCCATCAGCAGTGGGAGCATGTATCAAACATGGCACCAAGACACGGACAAGGAAATAAGTAGTAGGATAGGATGGTAAGCTCGCGACTCTATAAGTGGGAAAGTTGAGAGAGAAATCGGACAGAGAAAGAGAAAAAAAAAGGAGGTCGGGGAGGGCAGTGCGCATGCAAGCATCATGTTCAAGGCAATCATAAACATCCAGTGAACGGGCCAACGCAGCCAAAAAGAAATGGTAGTAGAGTATAAAGAGGTCCGCCGCACGGTAACAGAAACAAGGAAACTCGTCACCCGACTCGGCTGACGCTTGTGGTCAGGAGTCCTCATGCCTAAATGTACTTTTGTTTATCTCCGTTTCACTTCCATCGCCCATCCGTCAATGCCCTCGCCGCGGCTGCCGGGCGTTATGCCCAGATCAATCCCGTCCATACCGGGTGTATCCCGCATCCATTCATGGGATGCCATGCCGCCGGCATTGGCGCGCCGCTCCGGGGACACTTCGAGCATTGGCAGCAGGAACTCGCTGATGCGCATGCTTTCCTCGACCGAGAAATGATACTTCTCCCGCAGCACATCCGGCAGGGCCCAGTGGCGTAACCGGTGGATGTTGCGCAGTTCGCCTTTGCGGTTGAAAATCTCCTGCGACCACTTGCCCGAGAGACAGAGAGACTTCGGGAACGGTCCCAGAAGCTCAATGATCTGCGCGATGTGATCGTCGTCTTTACCATACTTGGTACCTGATTGCGGATCGAAAAGATAGTCGCCAGTGATGAGTTCGAATACCTGCAGCAATTGATTAGATTCTACTCGAAATGACCGGGTCTATCGGACATACCATGCAAGCCATACTCCAGATATCTGTGCTCGCGCCCCATTTCGACCCCAGGATAACTTCAGGCGAACGGTACTGTCGCGTTTGGATGTCGTTGGTGAAATGATGGCCGACCCAGCAGGCATTGCCCAAATCGGCAATTTTCACGGAGATTATATCACATTCCGGCTCTTGCTCTTCGCTCGACTGAGACTTGTCGAGCGAAATGCCCGATACCTCCCGTTCCAGCAGATCACTGTAAACATTAGCCATATCCTTCAGGCAAGCAGAAGATAACATACGCAGTCTTTTCCCTTTGCTTCTGTTTCTCATCATCGTCCTTGATTCCGAGCATCTCCTTCATCGATGTACTTTCTGCATTGGGAGTCACTAGACCAGTCAGCAATTTCGTAGCAATGATGAGGCGACGGTACATACCAGACGACTCGCTGACCATCTGACTAAGACTGCTGTGGGAATTTTGCGAACTGTGCTTAAAGTCGAAGCTGGTATTGAGCGGACTCGGCAGCGGTTGACTCCCAGTGATCAGGGTCCGGCGCCGTCGCCGACCATTGCGATTGTCTTCTTTCTGCTCCTTCTTCGCCTCTTCTTTGACGTATGTCTTCACGATCTGCTCCACGTCGCCGATCTCGATCAGCACGTTCTCTGGCTTCAGATCCGTGTGGATGATACCACACTCCCGATGAAGGTAGTCCAATCCAAGCAGCACTTGTTTTGTGATCTGTTTCACCAAAGCCATGGGGATACCGCGGTGGTTCCATCGCTTGATCAACCCGAGCAAATTTTCTCCCAGCACTTCAAACACCATACACACATGGACCCCGTTGGGGCCCTTGTGCTCAAACGAGTCCAGCAGACTGACGACATGTTTGCGACCGGGGTGGGAGGGTTTAGCTTGGACGATGCGGTTCAACAGCTTAATTTCATCGATGGCGGTTTCGGTGTAGTGGGCAGCGGAACGGACGACCTTGAGGGCGACATGCTTCCCAGTTGTGGTATCGCGGGACAACCAGACAGTCGAAAAGTGACCCCACCCTAGCTTGCGCACGACCACATATCGACCATTGTTGTAGGTTTCGCCGACGGAGACCGGGTGGTAACCACCCTTGCAGTAGTCTTCCGAGTCCTCTTCCTCTGCGGTGGTCTCGAGTTCTTCGCCAGAGGATGAAGAGGACGAGCGCGATGGTGGGACGCCGTATGCGGGAACCCTGCCACTCATGGCGGTTAGAAAGAATCAGGATGTGGCGGGGAAAACCAAAAGAAAGAGAAAGGCGGGAGGAAGGGAGCAAAGACAACACGGGCAAGCAGGGAAAAGGAATCTAGAAAAAGAAAGAAAGGGTAAAAGCCATACCCCTCAGTGGTAGTGGATGTGGTGGTAGTGGTGGTGGTGGTCGCTGGGTCGACTCCAAGCGTGGCGGCTTCGTTGGTGACGATCGGCTTTAAGTCGGTCCCTTTTCTTCTCTTCTTACCGCCATTGCCATTGGTAGCGGAGGCAGCGACACTACTCGCCATTTGCTTCCCTTTATTAAGAACGGCCTTGGTGATATCAACCCCATCCATGATGCCAAAGAATTGCGACCGATCGGATCGGAAAGTAAGTTGGGGGGGTCAAAAAAGGATGATGTAGAGCAGAAGGAGTGGATGGCGGGCGTCTCGTAGCGACAGGATTCAGCTGGAGTAAGTAAATGCAGTTGGTGGTGGCCGGCGGCGGCGACAGCGGAGGAGAAGGCGGGTTGGCGCTGGACTGGTTTGGTTTGGCCGGCTTTTGGTTGTGCGAATCTGAGGGGTTGGTTTGGGTTCAGCAGCGCCCACAAAAACGCCAATGCCAGAAGCAGCAGACACTCAACTCACCTGAGGAGGGGAATCGGGGATAAGAGTATAGGAGATTGTGCACCGGGAGGATGGTGGTGGTGTTCACAATCGAGTAATTTCAAAGAATGGCCAACATGGACTCCAGAACATGGAAGTGAAAGCCTAATACTACTATGAAACCAGTGCAGATGACTGGGGCTGGGCGGATGACGCAAACGATATAGACGGGGCGATTGAACTCGATGGATGGAGCAGGAGAGCAATGCAACGAGGGGCTGATCACTACTCGTAGATCCGGTAAATCTCACAACCCTTGGATTTCACCCAGTAGGAGTCCAAAGGGGGGAAGAGGAAAGGACCACAGGAATGGATAGAAAGGACGTGAAAGATTGATGATGGAGATCGACAAGGAATGTCCGCAAGCGTAGATGAAGAGAAGAAGACGAAGAAGAAGAGTTAGTTGTTGACCACCCACGCATGTGGCAAATCATGAATGGGCTATGGATCGATTCACCCGGTTGGGCCTGAGTAAAGTCTTCAGGCTCAAGCATATACATCGGTCAACGTTGGGGGACCTCATGCTTTTGGAAGAGATGCTCTTTGGGCTGGACAATGGACTTGAACCGTTGAAAGGGACAAACCAGTGTTATCTGAGGGTTAGATGGAGATGGAGGGCAAGGAGGAGAGAGGTTTCATTGTTTGTCTACATCCCCAGCCAGGCTACGGTGTAATAAACGGGTACGGAAACAGAGACAAGACACTACTACAACCCGCACTTCGTCCTACATGGATTCAGGCACCTTATGACACTTTCAAATATGAAGGAGTATGCGCGTGGCATGGATGCGATCGAGGGAAAAAAAAAAAACGTGGAGCAGCAGTCTGGGGGAATTTACCGATGCTGGAAGGGATAGCGACCGGCATGAGACACGAGCGAGAGGCAAAAAGTACAATCAATCCATCCTCTCTGTCTGACTGGGAGTGGGACACAGGATCTAGACTTGATGTCACTTTCACGGCCCAGTGGATAAGCGTCCGATCGCCTTGCTCCAGCCGAGTCCCGGAGGAGGAAAGACAGGAAGATGCGAGACTACTTGCTTAGTGTCCGTCTTGTCCAGCTTTCTTTTGCGGAGTCGATGATTCATTTTTCTGTCTTTCTGTCTTTTTCTGTTCCCGCCTCCGTTGTGCACGTGATGTCCCCTTGCGCCTGACTTCAAACCATCAGACTCGATGGACTGAAACTGATTCAGGAAACATGAGTCCATAATAAAATCCTCCCTTTGGTACTACGAAACGAGACTAAGGCTTGTTAGACTACCGTCTGAGACACTGATAACGCGTCACCGTTGGAACCATATCTTAACTCCATATCTTTTGTAGGAATATCGATAAGACAAGATATTATTATTAAAAGATACTATTGCAGGAACTATCCCATTACTTTATAAACTGTACCTGAAAAAAAAAAAAAAAACCCACCACCACCCAATCGATCCCAGGCAAATTGGCTGTACCAGTGCAAATGCTCTGATTGGTGCCGGCAACTCCCCACCTCCGCCCAGCAGCGCATGAATCCACGTTAAGCTGCTTCAATCACCTGAACCTGAATGCCAACAACCACCACCAACTATTACTATTACTATGGAATAACCACATACTATTCCTCTCTCCTCCTCTCCTCCTTCACCTATACTTCCTCCCTCCTCTCTCCTAATACCAAAACACCTCCACCATGTCCACCCCCTTCCATCGCCGTCCTTTCCCCGACTACTTCCTCTCATCACCTCTAGCAACCCTCATCTATCCTCTCCATCAACTCCTCAACCACCTCCGCGGTCCTCCTCACCTCCCACCCCCAAACGCTCGTCCCATCCGCGTCGTCTGCATCTCCGACACCCACACCCTCGAATACCCCGACATCCCCGACGGCGATCTCCTCATCCACGCCGGCGACCTCTGCAACGATGGCAGCGCCCGCGAAATCCAAGCTGCCGTGAACTGGCTGCGCAGTCTCCCTCACCCGCATAAAGTCGTCATCTGCGGCAACCACGACAGCTACTTCGACCCGCGATCGCGTCTCCCCGAAGACCGCAGCGATGCCTCACCTCAAAACACCTCCTCCTCCACATACGCCACCATCTCCTCCTCAACCGCCTCCCTCCGCTCCCTAGACGACTACCTAACCGACGACCCTCATCCCCGCATCGACTGGGGCGACAACGACGACATCCACTACCTCCAACACTCCTCCATCACCCTCACCTTCCCACCTACCACCACGTCAAGCATAACAAGCACCACCCCCCTCCGCCCCCGCACCCTAACCATCTACGGCGCGCCCCAAATCCCCGCCATCGTACCCTTCGGCCCCGAACACGCCTTCACCTACCCCCCACACCACGACGCCTGGTCCAACACTATCCCCCTCTCCACCGACATCCTCGTCACCCACACCCCTCCTCAATCACGCCTCGACCTCTCCCCCGTCTACTCCGCCGGCTGCCCCTTCCTCCTCTCCGAACTCTGGCGCGTCCGCCCCGCCCTGCACGTCTTCGGCCACGTGCACGCCGCATACGGCATCGAGCGCGTCTTCTACGATGAGGCCCAACGCGCGTGGGAGCGACTCTGCGCGTCGAGGAAATCCCGCGCCCGTCTGTCGAGATTCGGCTCCTTGTTTGGGTTCTTCCGGGATCTGTTTGATCTCTCGGGCTTGGTAGATTCGGCGAGAGTGGTGATGTATGGTGTTTTGGGGGTGGTTTGGGCGAGGGTCTGGGGTGGGGAGAATAGAGATGCGGGGTGGGTGGTTAATGCGGCTTGCATGTATAGGGATTCCGGGGTGTTGAGGAATAAGCCGCAGGTTGTGGTTTTGTAGGCTGGTTGGTCCATCACTGGTTTGAGTGGTTTGGTGGGTAATGGGATATGGTATTATTTTCCATATCGTCTTCTTTGTATATAGGGGAGAGTCTAGAGGGGATAGGTTATGTGGGTGCAGTAACTGATAAGAAAGGTTGCAGGGGATGGTATTGTAAATAAATGCCCGAAATCAGGCTCGGCCGACTTAAAAGAATCATTCCAAGATGCTGGTTTCATGAATACGAATGTGATCCTACTACATAAATACCATGCGTATGTAAAAAAAAAAAACCCAAAAATGTACAGTCTTGTTTATAGGCTAGAAGGGGGGGTATATAGTATATACACAAAATGCAGTGATGTATATGTATCAAACCTGCAATGGACCAAAAAATAAAAAGAATAAACTCAAAAACAAAACAGCATCTATCCTTCTATGCAAACAATCATAGCTTCGCCTTCTCGCTGAACCGAGGCGCCTGGAGAGGATCATAAGCACCCGAGGTGAGAGTATCCGACGGCACAGTGGCATGATGACCGCCCACCAGGCCCCGCACGTCAATCAGACTCGGGTTCAATTCGTCGATCTTGGTGGCGCCGATCAGACGCATGTTCATCTCCATCTCATCCTTGAGGAGCTGCATGGCGCGTTCCACGCCGGGCTGGCCGTACGCCGACATGGCGTACAGGAAGGGACGGCCGATACCCACGCCCTTGGCGCCGAGGCAGAGGGCTTTCAGCATGTCGGTGGCACGACGGATTCCGCCGTCGATGTAGATCTCGATCTTGTTCTCCCAGCCGCGCTCGCGGAGGATGGGCATGACCTCAGCGAGGACTTCAATAGCGGAGCGGGCAAACTCGAGCTGGCGACCGCCGTGGTTGGAGAGGACGACACCCTGCACGCCCATTTCAACGGCGCGGAGGACGTCCTCGACGCACTGGACACCCTTGAGGAGGATGGGCATCTTGGTAATGGATTGGAACCAAGGGATGTCCTTCCAGGACAGAGCGGGGTCGATGAAGGAAGAGATGGCGCGGGCGGCGCCCTGGGAGCGGTCGACGGAGCTACCGCCGCTGGCCTGCACGTTGGAGCCGACGTCGGAGAACTTGGAGCGCATATCCTTCTCACGACGGCCGAGTTGGGGAGCATCGACGGTGATGAAGAGACCCTTGCACCCGCGGGCTTCGGCGTGCTGGACAATGCGCTTGGTGATGTTGCGGTCCTTGTTCACGTAGAGCTGGAGCCATTGGACCTGGTCGCCCTGGCGGGCGTCGACGATCTCGTCGAAGGAGCAGGAGGCCAATGTGGGAATCATCTGGATGACATCGTGGGAGTGTGCGGCACGGGTGAGCACGACTTCACCCTCCGGGTTGCCCAGCTTTCCGAGGGCGGTCGCGGTCACGTAGAAAGGCACTGATACCTTGGTACCGAGCATGGTTGTGGAGAAATCGACGTGCTCGACGTCAACGAGAACTCGGGGGCGGAACCAAATCTTGTGGAAGGCAGAGTGGTTTTCCCGCATAGTCTAGATAGGCTTGTGGTTAGTGTATGCTGGTGGAGGACGAATGAGACATGACCTACAATTTCATCGTCTGCACCGCTGGAGTAGTAGGCCCATGCGGTCTTCTTCATCACGCTGCGGGCAACGGTCTCAAAGTCCATCAGGTTGTAGCAAGCCGCCAAGGAAGGCATGCACTTGATGCGCTCCTGGCGCGCCTCCTCCTCGGGATCGGCAGTCTTCTCCTCTTGTTCGACGGTGGTCATGTCAACTTCACCGAGATGCTTGGAAGAATCGAGGTATTTGTCGAGGGTGTCGGGCGGGTGGATGGGGTCGAACTCCTCGGTCGCATCCTTGCCGGCATACTTGAGGATAATCTTTTGGCCACCCGGGTGCTCTGGATAATGTCAGTAACAGATATATATAGTAGTAGTGAGGACTATATACACACCTGGCAGAAATTCGGTCACATCATAGGCTTTTCCATGGACAATGACCCAGCATGAGTCCTTGGAGTTGTGTTCGGCGACAGCAGCGCCTGTGAGCTTGCCTTTACTCATAGTGGCGTGGTAGGGTGGGATGGAGGTGATCGGAGAGGCAGAAGATTGAGGAGAGAAGAAGAGAAAGGGTGAAAACAAGAACTGCAGGGAAGAAGGAGAGGAGATCGGAGATGTATATGAAGGAAAAGACGTATCGCCCGAGAAAGCAAGAGAGAGAGAGGGAGAGAGAGTAGGAGGAAAGATGAATTAATTGTTGGAAATGCAACCAAACCAGACCTCGGGTTAATGGGGAGCGAAAGCCTATGGAGCGGCGGACACAGAAAATCGGCAGGCGGTCGTTGGTCGATCGTGTTAAGCTCAAGAAGGCGGGGGGAACCAGAACCGTTCAATCCCTTTGCTTCGGGTGACTGCACGCTTTTTCTCGGCCGACTGCTTTCGGTCAGGGACCACCTCGGCTGTTTGGCAACCTTTATCTACGCTGGCCATCGTGTCGGCAGTTCGGAGGTTTTAATGAACCGTATGAATTATTTCTTGGTTTGCCTGTGAGCGATTTGTTCAATCAGGGTAATATGTTAAGTGGTCAGGAAGAGACCCGATCTGACATGACGCTTGAGTCCAAAATATGCACAACCTAGGGAATCGAGCTTAGCGCAGGATAGAGGCAACGGCGGCTTCTACTAGTGGTACTTACAGCATTAATAATACGATGATCTGGATGGCGTTCAGAATATTAGTCTAAATCGCGCTTATCTGGACCTTAATATATTAATATTCAAAGAGGACCTTCAGGCAGGACAAGATTGTTCAACGTCGAGCATATAACATTATGATTAGATAGTAAGGCAATCTGAACCATTAGTTGAGAATTGCATGTGGACAACTTGGGTACTTTGCTGGCTGCATGCATACAGCATCATGTTCTTGTTAGGAGCTCTTCATTGTACACCAGTCACCAAAATGCAGGTAAATCACATAATCGCATAAATTTATCCATGTTAAGTATCAACCATCATGCCACTACTACACCTCGCCAGCCAAATTTCAAATATAAACGGAGGGTGCCTGCACCTTTTATCATTCAGAATCAACCAAAGAAATAACCAAGCGATGCTCAACTCGCTGCAATCATCCAAATCATATGCACACAACCCATGCAAATGCCCCGGCATAAATACCGAGCTTGAAAGAAATAGCGGCAAAAAAAGAAAACAAAAAACGCACAATGCAAGCAAACAACGCCGCCAAGCTTCATAATGCAGTCAGTCAGTCATCATCGTGGAAGTCAAATGCAGAACAAATAAGAGACCGAAACATTCATCGTCATCAGATCATCAGAACCAGCAGGAGATAGTAGCTCAGCAACACTGTCCTCCTTTGCGCTTAGGACCCACCACAATATCTTCCAATTCATCCCCAACACTACTAGGCGGAAATCCCAACCAACTGCGGCGTTTGTCCCCGTACCCCAGGCGGAAGCTCCCATTCCCATCGATATTTCCAGGGGTCAGAGATGACGTCGTTCCATCAAAAACGGTCGACGATCGCTGCGATGAACTTGTTCCCGCTTCTCGCTTATTGCGCTGCTCGACCAGCTTCCGTGTGATGACACGAAATACCTCCTCGATACCCTCACCATCCTTGGCGCTAATCTCATGGCAACAATCCCACCCGATATCCTGGCCCCAGAACGCACTACTGCGCTTGCTATCAACGCCTGCAAGTGTGCTAGATGAGTGCCCGCTCAAGCCGGCCGTCACAGGTGGTGTGGATGCTTGCGTTGGGTAGAGCTGCTCGGCGACGTAGGCGATGGTGCGCTCGAAGGGGACTTTTCGCCGAGAGGGATCAAGGGTAACAATATCGGTCTTTGTTCCGACGACATGGATCACAATGGGGTCGTCTTCGACAAGGTTCTTCTTCAATTCCGCGAGCCAGCCGGTCATTTCCTGGAAGCTTTGCTCGTCGGTGATGTCGTAACAGAGAAGGCAGGCATTGGCGCCGCGGTAGTAGAGGCGAGAAATGCTGCGGAAACGCTCCTGGCCGGCTGTGTCCCAGATCTGAAGTCGAACGATGGTATCGGAGGCGCTGTCGAGGACGCGTTTGGTCACAAAGGAGGCGCCTACAGTCGAGGCTGTAGCGGAGGGGTTGAAGTCGTTCTTGACATAGCGATCGACAAGCGAGGTTTTGCCGACGCCTGGACGGAGTTAGTCGGATGGAGTCTGAGAGAGGAGAGGAGGGCGAAACTGACCTTGGGCGCCGAGGACAACAATTTTAGCCTCGAGAGAAGAGCTCATGGCGGGGTAGAGGCTAAGGTGGGGTACCCGGAGAGCTGGGTTTGCATGTTCCAGCGGATAAATTATCGCTCGGACGGATGAGGAATTCAGAAGGCGTTGGGGACGGGACTTGATGAACAAAAGGAAAGAAAGGTTTGGAACAAAGGCGAGGAGAGGGTTGGGGACGTGGGGAGAAAGAAAAGAGGGAAGGAAGGGGAAAAAGGGAGAGAGAGAGAAGGGCAGCGTTGAAAGAGCGAAAACAAGAAAAGGGAGGGCGCGGGAACGAGGCTCAAGGAAGAAACAAGTTAACCACAGCCATCCAGCCAAAGCGATGGATTCAAGCCGGCATGACAGGGCAGTGCGCGGATCAGCCGATCACTTACGAACCTCCACTCGATCAGGTGTTCGTCTTATTTGTTTGTCGAGTGAATGTCTCTGACGGTTAGTGAGGAGAACGAGGACAGATAGATGGGATGGAAGAGGATGAAGGAGGAATCAAATCAGTCACCGATGAAGAATGATTCAGCCCCAGCTGAATCATTCAGCATCCTTCTTGGCCCCTTACGTGCTTCCTGGCCTAGCCCCATTGTTTCAGCCACAGACTCTATCAACAGGCTGAAAATTTTATAGCACTTAGTACTTTGTATCTCGTGTTCGTGCTCTCTCACGGAAACCCCGGCTGTCAGGCTGTCAGCCATGCATTGCCTGGATTATGACAGGCTGGGTTGAAGCAGGTCTTGCTGTCCACCGACGCAATATAATTTCCATTCAGCCGCAAGTCCCAAGAGTCTGGGTCTGTTCAGGGCACAGGCCACTGGATGGTACCACCGTCCCTAAAGCATTGATAGTGCACAATGGTGGCTTCAGTATCTCTTTAGTTCGTCCTGCCTAAGTAATCAGCGACCGTGCACTTGGACCTCCGCTGACGGGCGGCACCT